TGTAATGATATGCTATTTAAGCTATCATACATTATGTAAAATAAAATATTATGTAATGTTAATAAATCAAACAATTAATAACAGGAATGATAGTAAAACATTTACATCCGATTCCATTCTTTTTTATTATCAAATAACATATATTTTAGTACGATATTTACTCATCGTAAGGAGATAATACTTAAGCTATCATATATAATTAAAATAAATTATATAATCAATATTGTAAAATAATTATAATAATTTGTAGTCATTAATTATTAGATTAAGTTGTTAGTATTAACTAAATTAAGATAGCACATTTACACACGCACACACACATATTTCTCCAGTTATAAGGAGGCCGGCCACTTCCAATAAACCCTCAGTGTATGTATTGTTCCCGTTGCTTTTGGACAGATGATCACAAGCGAGTGTAAAAGACTACGCAGAGATTCTGACAAAAGCACGGGAACCTAGAAAAGTGCTTTATATTTTAAAAAAAAAATTAATAAATAAAAAACAATTGTTACATTAAAAATCTTTTTATTCACTACGGTCACCTTTGTCAAATTCAACATATCAATTTGCCGCCTGAAGAAGAAAGGTAATCAAATTTATAATTAATTTATACGTGTAAATCGATTTTACATAACTAGGCACTCCCCGCCTTATTCTTGAATTACTACATTACTATCATAATATAATTTACCGTGACCAATATGCGCTGTTCGCTGTACTTTGAAAAACTCGTGTTAACTAACCAATATTTCAGTATACCTATATATTGGTATATATTTTTGTATTTTATCTTATTCAGATAAATGGAAAACCGAGAAAATCCGAGTTATCCGAGAAAAATCAATCCAGATCATATCTATATTAATTAATAGGTAAAATATATTTAATTTATATATTATAACGTGGAAAGCCTCATCAGGGGGACCGATACAATGCTACGGGTTTAGTGAACCCGGGGCACCGAGCTCCTACTGGTCGAAAGCTCAGGTGGCCGATTTCAGTAGGCATATAGTATTATTTCTATAAATTGAAGGAACTCACCTTATATTTGACAATACCGTTAAAAAAGTTGTTTTCACGTAGAAAATCGAATGCATACAATTACCATTGATAATAAAGATATATTTAATCATTATTATCTATGGAAATTATATAATGTATACATGTACATCATGTCCTTAGTCTGGGCACAGAATAGAATGTGGTAATTCAAATTTTTAGCTAAAAGTCAACCGCAAACGCTTTTTGGAATCTATGTTTACCAGTGATATGTGATAAACTTTGAGAAATAGGTTTTGACAGGTAATAAAAAAAAAAAAAAATTACGTTTTTCCATCTAAACAAAAAAATCGATAATATAAGTATCGTCTAGATGATTATTCTGCAGCAATTATATCTTATTTTCATCTGGATATTTTCAATTTTTTCTTAAATTAATACTATAAATATAGGACAATAGGAGCGTGATTGTCCCTAATCATATTATAGACGACATGGATTTGTTTTTTCGTTGTATTATTTAATCCCCTAGAATAAAAAAGTGTACCAATAGTATTTAAGGACGAAATAATTTAATAGTTTAATACGAATAAATAATATATAATATGTATGCGATATTATATTTTATCGCGCGAAATTGATTTACAAGGAATAACGGTACAACAACCATTACAACGACGGTTAATAAACGTCACTGGAAAAATATAACCCGGATTAAAAGGGTAAAAATGTAATTTGACCAGAAAAAATCGTTGGGAATAAAGTCCTCTTATCTCGTCTGACGGGAACAAATTAAATAACGAAAAAAAAAACAGTAGACTAATTATTTCAATAGTTGGAGAGAACAACAACCCTACATGAATGTATATATTTATATACATAATATATGATAAATTATAAATCTGCCGTATTAAATACGGGGACATTTTTTTTTTTATTCGCATTGCTTATATATTATACGCAATCTGTCATACGTGTTATAGAACATTTAGCCTGATTTACGGTAGATAAAGGGAAAAAATACCGTTGTACAATCGATTGATAACTCACACCTCTTACTCGCTGGAGTGTTTTTTTTTCCAAACAAGTTAGCGACCAAATAACTTGCTTTCCATTCAAAAACTATTTATATCGACGTTTTCTTGTAGCGATTTCCTTTTCTTTTTTACCAATTGTGGAGAATCGACATTTTCATAGACACTTATGACCAGGTCTCGTAACTTATAGCTCTAAAAGAATTTGTTTTAAGCGCAATGATATGCTCTTAAAAACATTCATACAAGCGCTTATATGTGCACTAAAAATTTTAAAATATGCAAAAAAAAAGTCTGATGTCACATCAGGTATACATGATATACATACAGAGATGTCGTCAGAGTGCACGGAAACATAACAGCTATAATAGTCGTTATATTTTCCTTAAACCTAATATTATGTTTCCCTTGTTACCACACAATTTATAGTATTATATAGAAATCGGATATTATTCTCTTTGGCGAAAAGTTTATTTGAATTTCCATAAAAAATTATCGTTTCTCTAATTCCGAATTCACTATTGCAATAATACTTTTTACACGAAATAGACTATGCATTTTTTTGAAGTTCACTGCGGTAGTTTTATAGTCCCCGTCGATCAATTTAAAATGCGTTTCTGTCGTCGACTTGATTTTGAGTGTATAGCAAAAAATAAGCCATTATACTGAGATGTTAACTTTCACTAAAATGCGCGTTTTTTTCTTTTTTAAAAAACTTTTTTGAGTTAGTACATTTAAAATCACTCCGATTTTTCGCATACAATAAATTAGGAAATATGGCCTGACGGTATCATATTTGAAACACATTTTGAAATTTTCTAAAGTTAAACCTTGAAATTCATTTATTTTTTTCGGGAAACACTTTTTCGGTTATTAAGAATGCTCCAAATTATTCGCATTGGATCATAATATATATATTTATAGATGCGAATTTGTTGAACAGTATCACCTACTTTATTTAAATACATGCTCAACAGTTTGTCTATAAATTTTAAAAAACTGACAAAAAATTTCAATATGTTAGTTATAATTTTATCGATTTCAGGGTTAATTTGACTACAGAGGAAAAACCATCATCAACATTACATCGCTCAGAATCGTCTTTATATTGTAATTATTTCTCGTCGCTTTTATCGGTGTGTAAATTAAATTATTCTACTTATATATATATATATGTATATATCACCGAATTCCCTCACATATTTAATAGTGGCCTACCCATGGTGCGAAGTAGGGTCAGACTGGGTACTGAAAGCCTCATCTGTAAAGAAACCCACAATATAGGGTTTACGGAAATGGAGCTACATTGAAATTGTTATACTTTTGGTCGAAATATAATGTATATAATTATAACTATCTCTCTCTCTATACACACAATAATACAATATACAGTATATATCATTTTTTATAAAGTTTACATAAGATCTATTGATTTTAAATAAGGCGCGGGGCCTGTTAATAATATAAATGCTGCGGTTTCCTTTCAATTTTCCTCAATAGCCAATATAGTACCCTATCTACGGTCTACATTATATTTTAGACCACTCCAAATACTTCGATATTTAATACTATCGTACTTGTTATTCATTACCAGGAGTAATAATTTGTGGTGTCTTTTTTCTAAGTACTTCAGCATATAGCTTATTATCAAAAATAAAATTCCATTCCTACACCACAGCGTTCAAATATAAACATTTTTATTACATATTTTTGCATTTTCTTGTGATTTTCGTGAAATGATGAAATGTTGGTACCTTATTGATTAACGTCAGATTTGTTTTATTTATTATTTGTTAATTTTATACATATTCGACATTTTAAGTATAACCTCATTTTTAAAATTGTAAAAGCAAATATCTGTGCAAATATTTTTTTAACGAATTAGAACTTACCCTACATACCCTATAAAAAAAAAAAAAATTAAAACCTAAAAATACATTGTTGTGTAATCAATACATTCATCGCTCCTTTCCATTATTCTTTTTTGAAAGTATTATATTGTGTATGCGTTAAACAATTAATTATTTGTGGCAATAAAAATTATTCTATAGTCTACAGTTCGGGGAAGGCGAGGGCCCCTGGGACCCTTTCTCTGGATCTTTGGTAAGATAAAAACATACCTAACTATTTAGATAAATTAATTTTAGAAAAACACTGCATAGCAATATTGTTGTGGTTTCCTCGTTTCGTATCGTTATGATCGTATAAATTCTCGTATTCAAATTCTAGAGAGTACAAAGACGGCATGCATATGGTATAATGCATCTCAAATCCGTACAGCTAATAATAATAATAATATTATACCTCAGTAATATTTTGTTTTGAGCGCATAATTTCCACGGCGTTCTGCCGAATAACAATGATAATAATATTACATGCCTATTTATATACGCAATTTTAATCTCCCGTCATTTTTGTCGACGGTATAAAAACCGATTATAGTTTTTTTTTTTTTTACTTATTCAACCAACGTACTCGGGATTTTATTTGAGACGTCTACGCTACAAGTTATACACACAAAACAAATAAATAAAATAATTGAAAAATGATATCGAAGATAAAAACTCAAGAATATAATATTTATTATTGTTTACATTAGATATTACGACCTTTTTAGAAATTATAACCATTTAAACAATGTGTTTTAAAAATAATAGGAATTTTTTTGCTCGATGTTATTCATTCTTGTCGTTGCAATGCTGTATATTGTATAATATGATCATATATTAGCAATGCCCTTTTTTTTTTTATGTAATTTTAAGTTTTTAGTGCTTTAAGTGATATTTTCCTTGTTCTAATTTTCTCCATTACTTCTTAATCAAATAACGGTTAGTACCTAGTACAAATTTATTAATATGAACTATACCTTCAACTCACGCACAGCTTATAGAAGGTGTGCATCGACAGAGTTTTTCTACAATCATCATATTTATTACAACTATCAATAATAAATAATAATAATAATAATCAACACAAATATGATAATCAGTATTTTAATAAAATAACTACAATTTGTTATAACCATAAGTTTAATAAGGGTATTTGTTGATTATTATTCTTAAAAGTATTGATGATTATTATGATGTTAATGTGATTATCATTATTTTTAAAATGCTCATTATTATTATTATTTATTTGATAATTATATTTTTTATTACCTATTATGCTTCTTATTAAAATGATGATTTTTAATGTGCTCATTATTACCATTATTATTATCATGATTTTATATTCTCAGTGAAGCGAAGAAGCTTATGGATTTAAAAAGATGTTTATTTTTTATTCACAGTTTTTCACATTTTTTGAGAAAACTCATGAGAATATAAAAATATGATCTCTTTAAAGTACCTCTGCAGTCAGATTTCTTTTTACAAAAATTTATCATTATAAATCGGAGTAAGATCGCTGGTAGAAAAGTTGTGCACAGATAAAAAAATAAAATGTTTGTAAAACCATAAGTTTCTTCACTCTACTCAAAATCAAAATTTATATACATGATATTGGAATCAACATTTATGGACAAACACTCAACAGTGTCACCCGGCTGGGAAGTTAATAAATTATTATTTATTCTATTTGATTTATTGAAGAAGATTTCTAGGCCATCTTCTTTTTAATCCTGTAAGAGCATTACCAGGAAAGGAGGCCGAAGATAGTAGCTTTATTAAGGGATTAGGATGAGTACCTAGATTTAAATGATGATTGAGTAGAGAGAATTTGCTAATTAGTCTAGTGTTGGAAAGATTAAGTATTTGTGTATATCTGTATTTGTAACACGCCAGGGAGCAGAGATTATTAAACGCAAGCAGGTCGACCGGAACGTCTGAATAGTTCTAGGGTTTGAAGGCTTGACTGTGCTCCATAGTTGTATGCTATAGGACTAAACTGGACTGATTAAAGATTTGTGTGGTTAATTTATTGGATAGAAAAAGATTAGATTTAAGGAGAGGTCTAAGGAGATGAAGTCGGGAGTTGAAACGATTTACATTTTAGTATTAAATGTGGGCCCCTAGTGAGTTTTTATTCAGAGTAAGTCCGAAGTACTTAACTACGTTTAATGTAGGAATTATTTGATTATTAAACGTAACTGGCGGAGAATCGAGGTTACGCATGGAAAAAGTTATTTATTTGGATTTAGTTTCATTAAATTTAATTTTCCATCTAATTGACCACAAATTTATCATGTTTAAGGGGATTTGTATCATTAAGATAGCTATAATAGGGGCTTTATTTGAGGCTGTTATCAGTGTGTTGTCGACGTAAGTATCCAAGCATATATAAAAGCTTTTGAGATATCGTTGGTACAAAATAGTACAACATTAAATCTAATACTTTTTAAATAGAAATTATTATTTAATAAAACATTTCTCGACCTTCTTTAATTTACGTAACTTTTAACCTTTTACGTAGTTTTACGTACTTCCTACTATTATTGAATTATTGAAATAGTTTTAGTAACGACAAATAAGGGTATAACATTTATTTATTTGAAATATAATTATAAACACAAATCTTGTTATATAAAAACCTGATTTTATTTATACGGAAAAAAAAAATTAAATTTTAAAAACTTATATTAAATATTTCACAGACAGTTTTAAATACATCGAATTTTACTTTTTTAAACTATTATCTAATTTTTTCCCTTACACCTTTAGTTCCTAATTGGTCCTTAGGTTAAGAAACGCTAATTTAATATAATCATAAATTATTAATAAACAATTGTAATTTAAAAGGAAAAATATATTTGAACATTTTTGAAGTTGGTTTTTAGTTTAGTTTAGTTTAGTCAGTGGTTTTTATGATTTTTATTAAAATTTGAATATAAAACATAAATATAAAAAAAAACTACTAAATCACATTTACCATTTTTTTATCACTAAAGATCACTTATGATTAATTTCGTATAAAATTTTTAAGAATTTCTGTTCGTCTAAAATAATTTTATTCACATATACTTTAAAGCCTCGAAAATCTCAAGATTCTAAAAACTGCTTAATAATATTTAAAACATTATTAAATTTGTACTACGTCTATAAAAGATAAAATTAATATCTAGTGAAAACTACAGGTTGTTACGTTTATCTTAATCTGAACTAAAACAAAACTGAAAAAAATGAAATCGGTATTACCGTAAAATTTCCCATTTTCCCCAATTATAAAGAAAATTGCAAGAAAATTTTTAAAAGAGATCTTTGTATTAACTACATATAATTTGTTTTCAAAAATTATTCTACATTTGAAAATTAGAGTAATATTTCTTGTACAAAAGTTAACAGATAAATACAATTTACAAGCACAATAGATCAGAATCTAAAAGGTGAATTTTTGTTTTTCTACATTTAAATGTAGATTATTCAAATGTTTTAGATTTCAAAGTATTAATTATTTTTTGCTTTTATTAGCCATATTAGATTTTTTTTTTTCTGCGAGTATTTCGTTTAGTAATCTTATTTCCTAATATTTGCCGTTTTCTTTCAATGACACTACGAAACTTTCTATTTTTATTTTTTCGGAAGAGTAAATTATTTCGCAGAATCCATAATTTCTTGATTTTTAATTTTTATCTATTTTACTGTAGATACATACTATATATGTCTGAACCGTATTTGTCGCGTTTTTTTGGTATTTTTATTTTATATATATATATATACATAGCCAATCCGTTTCGCAGCCAAGTGTGAGACAGTTTAATCTCAATAAATCTTTTCTCGATATAAACTACCTTCTGACCACCATTCGGCATTCATATACTTACCTACACAACACACCTCCATAGCTACCACTCATTTCCGACGTGTGTATATTTTTGCGATGTCATGTGAAAAAAAAATAAGGTGTTCCTACGTTTATCAAACAGTTACTCTATCAGCAGTAGCTTTATGGGACCCATAAGTCAGGTGATTTCAAATCGGATTTTTTTTTTATTTCCACAAAATTGAAAAAAGTCGTAGTTACATACTATACTTTTTTTTTAGATTGAGCCAGATTTTTAGTATACCTACTATTTTAATTTAAAATGTGTATAAACAGTGTTTTTACTGTATAATAAACTTGTACTGCATATATTATGTATAACAATTAATAATAATATTATACAGTGTGTAATCGTTTGTTGGAAACACTCTATAACTTGACAAATTTTAAATATATTTGAATTCTGTTTGTTTTTGGTGCTTTAAATACTTTTTTATAACTTATTTAACTAATTAAGCAATTTGTATGCTATATCATTTCGCGCATGCGCATATCAACTTTTTTTTTTTAATTGTAACCCCACCTTTTTTTGGTTAAATATTTTTATTCTTATTTTTTTATAAAATTTAATGGTAAAACCAACTTCTTATGTTAAAAAATAGCTGAGTTATGGATATTTCAAAGATTGATATTATTTTTTTGACATTTTTGAATTATTCATCAATTTAATGGCTTAAATTTTTAGCACCTCATGATATCTTCTAGTGATATTTTTAGTACCTACTTTTCGGAAGGATCCTCTTCCCCTATAGCAACTAATTTTTTTAAGTTTGTTTCCTTAGGCGATTTAAAAAAAAAAAATAATGTTAATTCATTTTATTTTTATTAGTTCAAAATTACATTCATTCATCATCTTATAAATGATTCAAATTGCTATCCATTATAATTTAAATATGTTAATTTTATTTCTATTATTGGATATTTTAAATAATCATTAAATGATGGGTACGGGTTTTCTCCATCATTTCACAACTGTTATCTGAATATTAGATAATTTAGATACGATCAAATGACTGTTTTCATTTCAAATAGGCCAATGCGACTACTATTGTTTCTTACATATTTGTTTTACAATCATATTTTAAAAATTCGGGGGTGTTTATTAAACAATAGTTAAGTTACATTAGATAACTTCATAATTGAGATAGCTTTTAGTTTAAACAAATATGAATAATTCAGAAAAAGTTGATGTGCTTTTTGTTTACTGGGAATGTGAAAAAAATTCACGTCAGACTGCACGTGCTTATGTTTAACGTTACTCAAGTGTGTATTTGCTATTAATTATAATTTTTCGTGTTGTTGGTGAAAATAATGAAACATTTTTTTGTTTTTCTAAATTCAGATAGGCAACACACGTCACATAGTTAGTTTCATAAGTTAGAAAGGAATTTAAGAAATACTGGTTCTTTTTTTAACCCAACAGTTATTGCCAACCAGCAACCTAGACGAGTTAAAGCGTTAATGGAAGATATTGAGCTTCAAGTGTTGGCGTACGTAAGAGTAAATCCCAGAGTTAGTATGCGTCATGTCAGCTTTGAAATATTTATTTCTCATAATGCCGTTCATAAAATTTTAAAAAAGCATAAATTTCATCCATACAGGCCTGATTTAGTTCAAAACTTACGCCAGGGTGATGCTGAGCGTAGGATTATGTTTATTTCTTGATTGGTAACTCAATTAGAAGACAATCCTATTATTTTAAATTACATATTATGGACAGATGAATCCAAATTCACCAACAACGGAGTAATAAATAAACAAAATAATCGTTATCGGTACACTCAAAATCCCCATTGGGTTATTGAAACAAATAATCAATGTATTTGGGGAACAAATATTTGGTGTGGTTTGATTGGAAGTAAATTGTTGGGACCTTATTTCTACGACGGTACATTAAATGGAAGACGGTATTTAGAATTTCTAATGAATAAGCTACCGATCATGCCAGACGACATTCCTCTTTCAACAAGAAACAATTTGATTTTGCAACAAGATGGCTCCATGCCCCGGCACATAATGCAATTGTCGTGAAGAAATATTTAAATGAACATTTTGAAAATCGTTGGATAGGAACTAATGGTATAATAAAATGGCTACCTCGATCCCCAGATATTACACCACTTGATTACTTCTTGTGGGGACATCTAAAAATTGTGGTCTATTTGCAAACCCACCTACTAATCTCATTGATTTGAAACAAAAAATAATTGTGGAAAAAATCCAGTTTGTATTCAATTAATCAATCTTATTTCTTGTTACTTGACTGAAACATATGTTATAATTTCAAGATAATATTACTAAATAAATACTCATAGTTGTTGTATTTTTAACCAAATAATGGTGACGGGCTTTTTACTCCTAACGTCTCCTCCATCTACACTGCATAATATCGATATGATTTCTTTAGGTACTGTAATTATATACTTCTATAAGACAGAGAGAAAGAAGAAAAACGAACCCATAAACGTTTTACTCGTGGTCCAACGACATAATATAACAATATAGGTATAATTTATCGGTGTGTACCTAACTATATTTCAGTTAAAACGGGTATTATTTTGTGTGTCACTAATATAATACAATACTACCTATATAGTATACATTTACAGGTAACCATTATAAATTATCTACGTTGAAAATCGTTTTAAAAATAACGTCGCATTCCCAAAAACTGCGGAACATGGTATACCTGTAATGATTTATAGTGGGTTAAATGTTTGGCCGTTTCAAAAAAAAAAAAACAATTGCTTTTAAAGGAGAAAATGGGGGTACCAAGGTATAGGTGGTTATAATAATATTGTTAACCTAATCGCGGTCAAATAAAAGCGTTATAATAAGTATATAATATATTGAGCGTGCTGAACATTTGCAATGTATAATTTATATTAATTTTCGTTTTAAATTCCGAGTACAACGAAAAATGTCTAAATTTTCCCATGCCATATATCCACCTATCCAAAATGGTACGGATTTTTGGCTACTTGTAATATTTTTTCCAAAAACTTGCCTTTTATCGTTTGAATAAACAATAAGCTAACTAAGACTAATGAAAAACATGCCAATTTTTTTCAAACAGTGCATCAAAAGATGCAAAATTTCTACCTGGTATTTTATTTAAAACATTTTTCGGTATTTTCAACATTTAAAAGGTACTTTTTTGTTGATTGATTCTTGGATTACATTAGCAACAAGGCAAGAAACATTACAGATTATATTATCTATTCTGTTCAGAAATTTTTCTTTTCGCTTGCATTGATTTATTTTTGTATATTCAACTAAATCACCCTGTATATCCTACCTTATACATTTCTCTCCGACAAACAGTGATCTATTCTTATCAGATTTATTTTTTATTAATTACGTTTTTCAGAATGTAAAAATACGAGTTCACTTATTTTTTGCGAAAATCGCAATGTGGTTATAATCAAGGGTGCAAGCCATACATCATATTCTTAAATCGATATTCGGTATCAATTTTATCGATTTTATTAATATCCATATTTGACCCAAATTTTCTTATGAATTACAATTTTTTCTTTTTCAATAAACGATTTATCTAAACTTTTTATAAACATATTTTCTAAAATATTAAATTGTTCGTATCTTTGTCACCCTTATATTTGAGATGAATCGACTACCTACTTTTGATTTGCAAATAGCAACGTATTTTAAAAATTCCATAAATGAACGGAGTATTAGTTTAAATATTTACAGGGCATTTTGTTCCAGGGACAATTTTAACCGTTTTAGGGACTTTTTGATCTGATTAGAAAACGTTATTATTTTTCTAAATGGATTAAAATGTCTCTATCAGATCAAATTTTTGTGTACACATTTTTGATTTCTGTTCTACCTGTTTACAAGATATTCCATTTTAAATTATAAATAGGAGAGAATAGCAGAACACTATTCAAACTCTGCGTACTATGCCACCACATAAATAATACTTCTCTTGATTATCCAAAATTATGAGTAGAATATCTCGTCAACGGGTCAACGAAAAACAAAAATTTCAATACCAAAATGTATTCAAACTATTACTCCATTTATTTATGGAATTTTTAATATCGGTTGAGTTTAAAAATCAAAAATAAGTATTTATCGGTTTCAACTCCGAAACGAGCTGATACTGGGAATGGGAAGATAGGATACATAAGATTATTTAATTTATATCTGAACGCAATCATTGCTTGACGAAAGACGATTCCGAGTGCAGTTAATATATAATTTGAAGTGTCGTCATTTGTTTTGCGATTTTCATTTAAATTTGATTTCAAAACGCTTATTAAAAAAAAAGTCATCTGATGATTTTGGAAATTTTACTACGTCTACGTAATTCCAATATATGTATTGTCACCAAATTTCAAGTCTCTATGTGTATTTATAAATGAATTATAGCAAAACAATTTCCAAAAATTAAAATTCCTTAAAAGATCAAAAGTTTTGGCGATGACACTGTAAGAAAATAAACAAAAAAGGTATTTTGTGATTTTTCTATTAAATCACTTTTTTCTGACAGAAAACGTCGTCCGTGTTTTTATAAAATAACGAATTCGTGAAATTTTATTTAAAAAAATGGCGCCGAAAATCAAAAAATGACATTTATAATGTACAGTATAGATAACTTGAGCCTTTAGAAAAATTGCTATACCTAAAAATCGGAGCAAGTTTATTAGGAAAAAACGTGTACACAGACTAGAAGAAAAAAAAATAAACATCTTAGTAAAACTAATAGCTACCTCGCTACAATTGGAATTTAAAATAAGAGTGACGAAATAGGGACATTGTAACATTTTAAATTTTATAATTTCAAAAATGTTTTACTTAAGCCAATTTTTGAAAAAGTAAGTATTTCATAGAAAATCTTATTTTAACATGATATTTTGAAGAACCTGTACGACTGTATGTCACTGTACGACATATGCTTTCCCCGGTCTTCGAAAAAATGCTTCGGATTAAAACCATGTTTATTTCACTCCAAATTTATTATTTGGATTAAAATTTAAAATAAATTTAAATCCTATTCGACTAATAAAAAGACGCGAGTATTATTAATATTTTATGAGTATAGATTAAATAAAAATGAGTTTTTTATTATTGCGGTACGTAAAATGAAAATTGTTTTAGTTTATTAGTGCAGTGTAGTGTAATACATAACTTACTACAGTGTACACTGCCATAACCACAAAAGTCATACAAATTTAAAAATTCTGTGAAAACGCGTTCGTTTTTTTGTTCTTACTTTTGTATGAAGTTGTGTATTTATATATATAGTCGAAAACGGCTATCATTAATCATAATAACAAAGTTATCGTTATGTGCGTCCACAGCAATATGACTTATAACACTAACAGAAAAACCAAAATTCCAATATATAATGTATTACTACAACAAATCATTTTAAATTGAAATATTTTTATTAAAAACGTACCTACACCTTCCTAATTGTGTGACATGAGGTCCAATTATCATTTAAAATTTTTAAATATTATTCTTTTTTCACGTTCGTACTTATGAATATGAGTAAGTTATACAAAATTCAGGGTACCGGAAAAAATTAGCAAAAAAAAAAAAATCACCTCACTTCTCCCGACAATTTTTATTTAAAACCAACAAAATTTCGACTACCACGAAGTTCCTTAATCCGACCAAAAACGTTGAGATTTTTTATCGTGACGTTTTGGCATATTCAGAAGAGCAGTTTTTCTTTTTTCGAAACTCCCCAAATTGTTATTCGGTTTTATTTATTTATTCATTTTGATTTTTTGACGTAATGGCCACATTAATGAATTAAAATTATTAGAATTCATCAATTTCAATCAAATTAATAATATACATTCCAAAACTCAAAAGTTTGACAGCATTTTATGGTTGGATCTTACAATACCGAAATTTTATATGGCTAATTAAATTTCTATCCTATTCGTTAGGTTAGGTTAGGTTAGGTTAGTGTTCAATTATACCGATTTTTCTTGTTTATGTATTTCATAACAATTCTTATTAGCTATGATTAAGCCAGAAATATGGCAAATATTATATTATTCGATAATATAGGGAAACCTCTTCAATCGTATTATAATCACATTCTATTATCCATACGCCATTTAAATATTTTGGTACCCAAGTATTCAACGACCTTCTAACAGATCTCTCGGTTAGTTGTGTTTCGGAAGCTTAGATTTATGTAACTTTGATCGTAACATAATAATAATATTGTCAAAGGATCCCTTTGTTGTAATGCTACACAACGGCATCTTATCACGCTGTATATTGCTTTAAGTCAGATAAGTGTAGCAGAAACACTACAAGTAAATACTATACAACTATAGTATTATAATGGGCAACCGGATCGGCTTTTAACTCTCTAAATAATACGCGAATAATTATTATAATAGAGTCTAGATATCCGAATACTCTGTCCGACGACCGATGAGAACTTTTGCATTTGTACCTTTGCGTTAAAATCGTTCAGCTTCCATATAAATTTAAAAAACTCAAAATATACGTATACGTTTTATTATCAATATAATACATATGATATGTTAACAATCGTAAACAATCGTTACACAATTTTGTCACATAAATGTTCTGTACGTTTTAACGGACCATCATATATTACTTTAATGATCCATTCAATAATTATTTGACTTTGGTTTTGTATATTTTTAATATTCACTAAAATTTGTTATCATTAATCAATTATCACTTATTAATTTATTTATTTTGAAAATCCGTTACATTTTAAACAAGAATATTTGTTCTAACTCGAATATGAACATGCAATTTTATAAAATGTAATTTCCTTTATATTTTCAAAAAATAATTATAAGAATTAATGTAGAATGATTTTAGCCGAGTAATTAAAATAAAATTTAATAGATCTGTAACATCGATAACAATATTAGATTTGCATTGTTTTTGTTTATTTAATTTTTGATTTTTAAGCCATAGATGGTGATAGATTTTTTGAATTTTTTTTTTCAAGGCGTTCTCGGGGGATTTTCAATAATCATAACATCCCTATATACGTACGACAACGTAGAGACAACGGAAATATTATACACCGATTGACGCGGTGAAACAATTTTTACCTGAACGTGTGTCGATGATTTTTGAGGATTTTCGCGTAAGTATACGGTCAGAGGACACCGCGCGCGCACGGTTCGACGGCGATTTTCATGAACATTTAATATATACACACGCAGTGCTTATGCCTACATAATATTAATCTGTGGTGAACGGAACGAGTACAGTAAATAACAATCGACGTGGAAAACGAAAAAAAAAAAAAAACAAAACAAAAAAAGCAACACAAAACAAAAACGGACGTGGCGATTTCACGGGATTAGTACAAATTGTTATCACGGTTAAAATTCCGGCGGTGGGGTTTCGCAACAGGCCGTTTCCGAAAAACGTCGTCGGGTGCGGTCGCGCCGGAGAGCGTCGCGTTGTCGTTGTCGTCGTCGCCGTCCTCGTCGTTGTCGCGGTGAACTATGATGGAATGGAGAAAAAAAAAAAGAAAAAATGTCGCAACGGCGGCGGCTGCGGCGGCGGCGGCGGTGTCCGTTCAAGCGGCGCGGAGTCCGTCGCCCCGACGATCGGCCGCGGCACCGCACACACGGCCATTGAAACGAGACGCCGCCGAGAAGTTTAATTGCATAAAATGAAAAAAAAAATAACCGATACCTAGTGGGCCGATTAAACGGTCCCGGGGGAACGCGCGTTTGCGAAACGGCGGCGACGACCTTGCGAAGACGTCCGTCGTGCCGGTCTGCGGGGCGTGCACGCGTGCGGAGGGGCGGCCGCCGTGGCTGCTGTCGTTATTTAAGCGTCGGCCGGCAGTCAGTGAGCTCATTGCACCGAAGTGCTCCGTCGAGTCGCGATAATGTACACATCCACAATTACGAGACGATCTGCGGATAACGGCACGACAATGACGAGCCGCCGACGGCCGAACGTACAGGCGACGACGACGACGACGACAACGGCAACGGCGGCGTGTGGACGGACGGCTGCCGCGGCCCTTCTGGCGGTGCTTCTGGCCGGAGCTGCCAGTGCCGCGTCCACCGGCGCCAAGTCCGCGGCCGCCGCCCCGGACCTGTTGGCCGTCGGGTCGGAGGCGCTCTCTATGGCCGCCGCGGCCGCCGCTCTGGCACCGCCGCCGGCCGCCATCACGGAACCGGCCACGGCCGAGTCGAAAAAGTTGGCCGGCCATTCGGCGCTGATGGACGGCTACGCGCTGACGGGATCGCACAAGGGCGACCGGGGCTACAACGAGGACGACGTGTTCGGCGACAAGATCGGCGACAGTTACGGGTTCGGCACGCAGACGGCGTACGGCACCAAGGGCGGTGACGGCGACGGCGGCGGCGCCGGTGCGTACCACGAGTCGACGTCGTACGACGACAACGGCCGCTCGAATCCCAAGTACTCGTCGTGGCACTTCGAGGACAAAGACGGCAAGCCGACCAAGCGGTACGTGTTCGATTCGCAGAATAAGAACAAGAACAGACAGGACCCGCAGGCGGTCGAGGCCGAGGCGTCCGAGTACGACAGCGTCGAGGCGTACGACTACCCGGACGACGGAGGCACGCACGCCGGTTACGAAGCCGAAGAGCCGGAACCCGAGTACGGGGCCCTGTACGACTCGGCCGACGTCTACGATGGTGACTATTAGGCGCCCCTCACGCCGCCGCCGACTGACCATTTCGAAGCCGTCTTCCCGAAGCGACCCGCGTCGTGTTACCAGATACCCGCACACACTCGCACACGTTGCATAGTACCAACGTAGGTATAATGGCACTATTTTTTTTTTTTTTTCATATATATCCCGGAAGCGCGTAAAAAACATTAATAATAATTCGGGCTAAATATCTCTCACGCGTAATAGTTTTTCAGGTATAGGTACGTTTATTTTTTTCGGTTATTCGTTTACACACACACACACACACATACACACACACGCACACACCGCAAAACACGTTGTAACAGAGTATTTTTTTTTTTTTGCCCGTGACTTATCATTTTTTGCTTATATTTTATTATGTAAATGTAAAAAAAAAAAAAAACCTGACATAGACATATCAAGCACTTTTTCTTTGCGACGTATATCATAACCGTGATACGATATTATGCTCACAATGTTTCGGTAACAACACCAACAATAATATTATTACGACCGCCACCGCGACACGAAACTGTATCGTCGTTTTTTTTTGTTTTTTTATGTATATAGGTAATAATAATATAATCCGGTCGAGTGTTATGATATTTTTATAATGTGTTATATCATTTTTATTTTTTTTTTTCTAACCTTTTTATTTGTATTTGTTATGGTTGTTATTATATTATACCGTCGTCGTTGTTATTTTATTTTTTGTAGTTGGTTTTTTTGTTTTTGTTTATTTTTTTTTTTTTAAATATTATTCCTCTATGTTCAACTAGTTTTAATCGTATTTGCCTTTACTTTTTCCTTTTTTTTTCCTCATACGTACACCATTATTCCCTATTCTTCTTCCTCCTCCTCTTCATTCTCGTCATCCGTCAAATGTGTTTTTTACACTCGTTTTGTTTTTTTTTATAGGTAACTATGGGTACCTGTATTGTTTGAATAAACGTTTATGGGGAAGTGAAGGGGGGCGGTTGAGTTTTAGGATTTAATACTAAACAAATACACATGTCGCGTGGGTATAGATACGAGTAAAACGAAAACAAACGTGGGTATCTGCCCGGGACCTTCTAAGCCTTTTTATTTTGATAAAAAAAAGTAACAATACTCGTACACAATATTAAATTGTTCGTTTTTTACGTTTGTACAGGTGAAAACGATTAGACTAAATTTCGATATTTTTTACTCACTAACGTATTAAACACTTTAGGGGTGTCATAATAATCGGTGAAAGAAAAAACATAAGCGCCAAAACGAGATAAGAAAAAAAATGAGTCGTAACAAAAGCGTCAAAATCTTAGATAGTAGTAGGTACCTACTATCCATGTGCTTTATTCGATATATTAAATTTAGAACTATATCGTGTACAAATTCCAAATCTATAAATAAATGTTTTACATGTCTGATACGAGTCCGATGTTATAGAGAGACACACATTTTAAATATTTTGAAATATGTAAAATACTAGCTGACCCGCTCGGCGTTACCCATATGCCAATTTTTATTTATTTTTTTTTTTACTCATGCTCTCTTTTGGTTTTGACCGTGTCAGTATATCGAATGAAAACAAACAGTTAGAAAGTGACTAGTCCTCATTCGACGGACTAAGAGTGATCCGTAAACAAATTACATCAATATAAAATTAATAACTCGATTGTTAATTTATACATGCATATATACGGGGTCATCTATCGATCTATTATAAGACAGAAAGTATTAACTTTTCCAGTAATTTATTTTTTAGAACGTTTAAAAAACAAGCTACTCTACAATTTTACTTTTATGTTATTTTTTATCATCCTTATTTTTAGGTATAAAACCATTAGTTAATCTATTAATTGTTCTCTTCTAAAAATCTTATCCTGACAATCACAAATATAACAAACAAACAAAATAACCAACCAAATCGGTCCATCCGATTTCAAGTTATGGTGTCGGCGACAGAATATCGATTCGTTTACACATGTGTGTATGGATAGATTACAATTGGAGCAAATAACATTCCTTTTTTATATCTTTGGCGCTTTTGTTTTACATAGGATATAATTTAAAATCAAAATTAAAATTGGCGCTTGTATTCTATTAATTTTGGTGCGAATGATGTGTAATTTTTACACCTTTGGTGCTAATGGCATGCAGCCATTAAAATATAAACATAGTTTAACGCGTTTGTTTTATGACGTCCGTCGACCCGTCATTAGTAATCGGTGGCGCCAAAGATTTGTTTGATTTTTTTATTTTATTTTACTAAAAAGAAAAAATCCATTGTAACGAAAAACTAGATGATAAAGATCATTTATTACTAATATCGCATAATTTTAAACTACGGAGAACAATATTTTCTTACGTATTTTTAACAGACATATTTGTCGCTCGTGTAATAAAAAAAAACGAATAGAAAGAATCGGACTGACGCTAGTGACCTGTATTTATTACAATGAGACAGTATTCATTCCGGAATGATTTCAAAGTTATAGTTAAAGAAAGTCAAGTTACAAAATTACAATGAGTTGAAAAAAAAAATTATATTACATAGTGAACTCGCGAAACAAATTGATCCTTCAATCCTCGTTTATAAGCTAACAAACTGAACAATGTCTTTTATTGGTATTTTCGTATTCTGCCCTCGTAGTGGCAAGTATAGTAACTTCAAAATTATTCTTAAAAAAAAATCATTAGAATTCAATTTTGTTATTTTACATATTCCACGTTTTTTACTACCAAGGTAAAAAAAAAAAAAAAAAAACAGTACACTTACGTTGTAACACTAAAGGCATGCGAGTCACAAGCCCAGGGCCCGGCCTAATGGGAGCTCCGAAAAGAATAATTTTCATCTTTACGTTATAACGTATTAACGCGATTTTTTCAACCAAATATTTGACCGTCAGTTTTAAATGTTAAGTTATAATTTTAAAATATAGTAAAATCCTATTTACTCAAAATTTAAATGTTTCAAAAATGACGATTACCCCTTAGACATGCAATAAACACGTTAACCGCTGTATATACTACAGCAGCGGTGGCGGCTGCCTAGTTATTACTATTAAACCTACTGTTTTCAATAAAATATGGTTGTCTTCATGAAACGTACAAATTGTGTGAATAAATGGTTCGCAAATTTCCATTCGAATGAAAATTCCCATTGGAATTCATTCATAGTGGAAAGAAAACGACTTCTATATGCTCCGTCTAAGAAATCCGTACATTGTTATTGCTGCCGTCTTTTTAATAACACTATTGGCAACAGTTTGAGTTCTTCCAGTGGGTAAAAGGATTGAAAGCATATAAGTAACTTTTTGATGCAGCACGAGAACAGTTCACAACACAGGCGCTCAATGATGAATTACGTCACAAGAAGCGAAACTACTGGTCGAGTGGATAGTGGATTACTTTCCTAATATAATGCTCAGGTAAATTATTGGAACAATTTACTTAAAAGGATTGTTGCAGCTGTGAAATTTTTGGCTTCAAGGGGACTAGGGTTTCGTTGCGAAAATACAATTTTGGAGTCTTAAAATAACGAAATTATTTGGGACGCATAGAATTATCAATTTGAGGGCCCCCAAAATCTGTGTGCCTAAGGGCCCCAGCATAGTTTAAGACTGCCCTGAGTACAAATGTCATTTAGTAAGCTAAAAAAGCCTAGTTTCAAAAGTTGTATTAAAAAATGTGGTTCTCGCAGTTAGTAAAAGTCGACTAATACCGTAATATTTATAATAATTATAATATGTAAATTTATAAAAATTAAACACAATAATTGTTCAAATATCTACCAATTTAAAGAACTTTTAAAAATTGACCCAAAAAGTTACATTAAAATAGAAGTTCAGATAAAACTAAGTGGCTGTATTTTGCAAACAGACCCAACTAATATGTATCCTACCGAAAGCTGGGTCCCGAAATTCATTGGGACCAAGTTTGTAAACACCTATTAAAACACTATAGGATCCGAGGCCCAATATGCAGCGTATTCGTGAAAATTCGTTGAATGGTAAACTCTCACGAAACTAGGTAATCTTCTACATAAACATAGTGTTACATCCTATACAATTTAGCGTTAACTCCAACACACAAAATAGTGTTAGGTCCTACACTAGATAGGTAGTATAATAGATAGTTTGAAAAAAAATATTAATTGTATTAATTTTTTTTTTTATTATATTATATCTGCCTTATATGTTATTATTAAAAAAAATCAATATTATATGTTGTACAACATTAATATATAATATCAAATAGTTCATTTAAAATAACACCCAAAACAATTATTAAGATAAAAAATTTAAAGTGCATTTTTATATACCTAAATCAATTTTCATTATAAAAAAAGACGCCCTAGGATAATGGAGACAGGTGCAGCCACTGTTATAGATAATTAAATGTACACCTGTAAGCAACGATAAACCATTGCTTACGAAACAACGATTCTGATATATATTTCATTTTATAGTAAAATAATTAAATAGGCTTTATATATTTTCTTTAATAATATTTATTTAATGTTGTACTGATTTTCCCAATTTCCTACTTTTTTCCTGGTTTTCCGGTGTTTTATCTTGGTTTTTCACATTTTCTGGAAAAACTCCTGAGAATATCGAAATATGACCTCTAAAGTACCTCCCTAGTGAAATTTAGAAACATTACTATCAAGTTGGAGCAAAATTGCTAGTAGAAAAGTTGTCCACAAAAAAAAAAAATCATAAATTATATTTATTATATTTTGTACATTTTCCCGTTTTTTTTTTTTCAGTTTTCTCATTTAATGAGAAAACTCTTGAGAAAATTGAATAATGATCTGCTTTTAGTACCTTCCCACTCAAATTTCTTTTCAGAATAGGTGCTACACGTAGAAATCTGAGCAAGTCTTTTGGTAGAGAAGTTGCGCACAGATAACAAAAAAAAAATAAAATATAAACATCTCTGTAAAACGACAAGCTTCTTCGCTCCACTCAGAATCTAAAACCAGTTATATCTTTTATTCATTCTAACATTTTACATTACTATATTGTACTTATTCTTAGTATGTAACAATTGTGTTTTAACATGAAATACACCTCACCTATCTCAAACTTAAAAGGTCTGTACAAGGGATTACACTATTTTTTATTTAACAGATAAAAATAGACTGTGTAGTAGATTATACAACCTTTTAAATTCAGGTAGAAAGGTCGTTCGTGTAGAAGTTTACACGGGGTCGAAAAAACAATACGATAAGCGACGCTTATAACATACCGTTGCATCTTCATTGTTTCAAACGTATTATACGACAGTTATAATATGCCCAGTAATTGCAAATCGTCCACACACAGCTATAAGGACAAAAGGGGTAGGAAATAAAATTATGATTTTTGTACCGTTTTCAAATACGAATACCTACGTTGTTATTATTACTTTTAGATCTTTAGCAGTTCCCTATAATGGTTTTAGAAATATGTTCATTTATTCTGTCTGTAAAACGCCTGACTAGTATTAGTAATAGTATTATACTATTCCTATAGCAAACGCTTAAAATTTTACAAAATGTTCGTACAAAATAAAATAGATCTATTTACAACGCAATGCCATCGTAACAGGTGATGCCGATGATAAAAAAAAAAAAAAATCAATTTTTAAATCGTATACATGAATGAAGTCGACTTCACGTGTTTTTCGCATGACCGATTCGCGTATGTATATCAACAACAAAAACTAACATCGCCCGATTTCGCAATAACCGT